GGTCTGACTTACCATTGTATATTTGGAACCTTGGCATACTAAATCTCTTCGGAGCCTCAAATTTGTCTAACTCCACTAAGAATAGTGTTCTCGGCTTTTCAGGGAAAGTTACCTCAGCATCGGCATTCTGCTGCTTCCTTTTGAGGTAATCTCTCAAGTCTTCTTTGCTCCGTCCAGGAGCTCGGCTATCTCCTGACTTTAGTCTTTTCGGCATACTACTCTCAACTTCATGGTGGGTCCTTTCGATCTTTCTCTGTGAGTTGTGTCGAAGTAGAGCGCCTTCCCCTGAACATGTCGACGTTCTTTGGGGTCTGCCTCCTTGGCGCGATGCGTCCTCCGCGACTCTTCTCTCCTTGACTCTCCTCGCCCGACCTCCCTAGAAGGCCAATGAGAGTGTTTTTCGTTTCTGGTGTGGCCACAAACATCTCGGCCAGGCCTTCCTAGGTCTTCACACTTCCCTTCAGTAGTTTGTGAAACCAATCTGATGCAATCTCCCCGAAGGATGAGAGGAACACTTTGTAGAGCAACGGCTCGTTCCCACTATATAATGCCATTGAGTTCAGGTATAATCCAACATGAAAGTTGGGGTCTGATTTACCATCGTATATTTGGAACCTTGGCATACTAAATCTCTTCGGAGCCTCAAATTTGTCTAACTCCACTAAGAATGGTGTTCTCGGCTTTTCAGGGAAAGTTACCTCGACATCGGCATTCTGCTGCTTCCTTTTGAGGTAATCTCTCAAGTCTTCTTTGCTCCGTCCAGGAGCTCGGCTATCTCCTGACTTTAGTCTTTTCGGCATACTACTCTCAACTTCATGGTGGGTCCTTTCGATCTTTCTCTGTGAGTTGTGTCAAAGCAGAGCGCCTTCCCTTGAACATGCCGACGTTCTTTGGGGTCTGCCTCCTTGGCGCGATGCGTCCTCCGCAACTCTGCTCTCCTTGATTCTCCTCGTCTGACTCCCTTGAAGGCCGGTGAGAGTGTTTTTCGCTCCTGGTGTGTTGGGGGATTTCTGGGATTGGTTTCTGCCCTCCCTTCTGTGCATTGGTTGCTGGAATCGGCGTGCCCTGCAGTGGGATTGGTGGCTGCATGACATTGTTTTGCATCATAAAATTGATGATCGATTACAGGTCTGTCAATTTGTTTGCCATCTCTTTTATTTCTTCGTCCCTTCGAAGGCATCTATCCTTCCACACTTGGAGGTCGTCCTTGTTGTAATAACTGCTTTGTTCTGGTTTCTTTGGTACGTCGCCATCCTGACCGACGTCTTTCTTGCTGTGATTCTGGTTCTGAGTCTCCCTGTTGCAACCGTTTTCCTCCATGTTTAGGTCAACGTGTTTTTCATTCCCAGCAGGGGTTTCGTCCCCAACCTTATCCTTCTGTCCATCACTGGCCATCTACTCCCCTTTCTTTCCCACAGATGGCGCCAAATTGTGTGAGTGAATTTCCGATCACACTGCCAACTCAGTATTTAGCTGGAGAGCACTGGCAGAATAGATGACACCTGGCTAACCTGTAATAGAAAGAAAAGATTTCGGCGGTGGTTCGTCCACCCGGGGGCACTCCGATGATCAAGTCAGTATATCTCTCAAAGATAATCAAAAGTGTTAAACTCACTATTCAGAATATAAATTGCGTACCTTAGACCCATCGGGGGTGCGTTTCTTTTATAGTTTCCTCAATCCTAGTCCCCATAGAAGCCTAGCTTCAATGCACTTCTGTTCAGTGCTTATCCTGGACTCTCAAATAGATAAAGATAAACTCCCTAAGAATGTTATCCTTATCCATGCTAAAGTCCTTCCTTATTCTAGGACTCTTGTCCCTTATCCACTTATCTCGGATTTCGATATCTTCGGAGATAACCTCGGTCTTGCCGAGATCACCTCGGCTTACACATCGGCATCACCTAGGCCACGTATTGGTACTCTAAAAATATATCCCCACTAATACAATAAGGAATCTCTCTCTCTTTCTCTCATCACTGATCTGTCAAGGAGTTTCAGGTCTTCAGTTGCAGTTTGAATTTGTGCATTTTTTTTTTCTCCAGTAAGATCATCTTCTGCATTGGTATCAGTCGGTCAGTTGTATAGAATGGGAATTGCTGGAACTCCTAGTCTCTTCAACATGGCAAGTGTTGTAAGTTGCTTCAACCAAAAACCTGTCGTAGAAAAGAGCAATGAAAGAGGTCTTTTTAGCAAGAAATCAAATAAGCACCTCCTTTGTCTATGGCACTTCCAATCAATCAATAACAACAATGAGAAGCACCAAAACTTTGAATGAGAAGCAAAAGCTCTAAGCTTCATCGTGAAACACATTCTCAAACTTCGAACGAGGAAAAAAAACCCCCCTTATGGAAGAAAGATAATGTAACACGCTAACTTCTTGTCATCTTATCTAAATGCAAAGAAACTCTCAGGTAATTTCTCACGGAGACATTTTCTACAACAAATTAAAACAAATGGAAAATACAAAAGGTAAAGAGACACAACAAAACAAACAAAAAGCGAATGCAAATATCACAATCAGAGAGCTATATCTGGACCATCCAAAGCCATTTTACCAAAAATGATATGACCAGCCATTATAGCAAACATCTTGAGGACTAACACAAGATGCGCAGGACAAAGATCCATTGCTTTGAACCAATTGTTTCACTTCATTATAGCGTCAAGTTGTAAATGATAAAAACAATCAAGTAAAAACTTGCGTACCAAATTCCCAACAGATGTATTTTCATAACGATGATTCAAAGATCAAACTGTATAGAACCAACAATAATCCAACATAGGACCACCAGAGATAGCATCTGTGTTGATGAATTAATGAATTTCTTTGGTGTTATGGATTTCAAGTATATCCTGGGGCACCAACTTTTTAATCATATCAAAGAGTGTAGGATCCAACTGGGAGTAGATCCACTACTATCGCCAAAGTAGATACATCTTCTGAAAAGCCCCTCCCAATCATTTTTTCCAAAAGTATTATTCCTGCATTGTAGTCCTTTGCGTTAAGGAATCCACGGACCATAACATTGGAAGTTGCATAATTCGGCAAACAACCAGTCTCTTTCATTGTCATCAAGGGTGTAATGTTGGCCCGACCCGGCCCATTCGAGCCTTGCCATCCAAAAAATCAGGCCGAGCCGGGCCGGGCCACGGGCCAGAAAACCAGGCCTTAGCCCAGGCCTAGGGGTATTCGGGCCAGTGGGCCAGGCCCTTGGGCTTGTCTCTGGGCTCGGGCTTTGGGCGGGCCTAAACATTTTTTTTAATTTTTTTTAATTTTTTCCATTAAAAATAACACTGGGCATCGGGTGACCTGGGCTTTTGGGCGGGCCTTAAGCGGGCCAATGGGCCGGGCCAAGTAGGCTGGGCCCATGGGCCGGGCTGAACTTCAAAGCGATAGCCCAGGCCCTGGCCCAAGGCATCGAGCTGGGCTTGGGCTCGGGCCTTAACGGGCCGGGCCCACCTTGAGCCGCAGGCGGGCCACGGGCCGCCTGCTGGCCACGGGCCAAAATTACACCCCTAGTCATCAGTAACTCTTTTGCTTCACTTGAAAGCCCCTGCTCACAAAATCCACCTATCATCATAGTATAAGTATTAACATCAGGCCGCAAACCTTTAGAATGAAGCTTATCAAATATATTCCTTGCCATCTCAAGCTTTCCATCTTTGCAAAATCTATCAATTAATGTATTGTGCATAGTAATATCAAGATTTATGCCACTGCTTTCGATCTCCTGAACAACACTGCTTCATTAATATGCCTATTCTTGCACAAGCCATCCAGCAATATACAGTAAGTATAAAAATCTGGACGCTGACCCTCAGTTTGCATCTCATTCAGAAGTCCTTGAGCAATAGAACACTTACCAACCCCACACAATCCCTGCAAGCAGTTGCGTAGCCAGGAATTCAGTGAAGAGAGAGCACAAATTGATGATAACATTAAAAAAAAATTTCATAATAAACAACAATGAGATATTACTAAACTTAAATATTAAGAGTTCATTTGGATAAATGTAAATTTTAAATTAAAGGATTTGAGATTAAATTTTATACAAATATTGGGAAGTAACTATTTTATAGGTGGATTGGAAATTTAAAAAAGAAGATTCAGTGAAGAGAGAGCACAAATTAATGATAACATTAAAAAAAAAATTCATAATAAACAACAATGAGATATTACTAAACTTAAATATTAAGAGTTCATTTGGATAAATGTAAATTTTAAATTAAAGGATTTGAGATCAAATTTTATACAAATATTGGGAAGTAACTATTTTATAGGTGGATTGGAAATTTAAAAAAGAAGATAAATTGAGATAAAAATGACATATTTTAGTAGAGAAATTCTATAGAACATATCGCAAAAAAAGTGTCTATCATATGTCATAATTATGATATTCGTGGTCTTTAGTTATAACACATTATAGTGTTAGATATAATTTAGTTATAACTTTTTGTGGTTTTTATTTTGGTTATGACTATACATCAAGTAATAGTATGACTCATTTTGATATTAATTATGACCTATTGTAATTTTTTTATTTTTTTATTTTTTATAATTGAAGATATTTTGCTTGATTATAATTTATATAGTGGTTATTTTAGTTATGAATGAAAAAAACACATGGAGGATAAACTCTACATGTCAAATGTAACTAACAATCCAATAAATTCTACATCTTCATTGAAATTAATTATGTTTGTATGTCAATAATGATAGACATCACCATTATATTGAAATTTTCATAAATAATAATATGACTTATCATAGTTTCTTTATTTTTAATCAAAATAATCATTATTATTCTCATAATTTTAAAATGTCATTAATATTTCACTTTAAATAATATTTTTTATAATTTTTTTTATTTAAAATATTTTCTTTATATTTAAAAAAAAATTCCAAAACCTAGGGGGGGCACGTGACCCCCTTGGCCCTAATGTGCCTCCGCCACTGCTTGCAACATAGCATTGCAAGTATCAATTGTGGGTTTCAATCATTTACGAGGCATTTCTTGGAAAAGATCCATGGCCTCTTCAATTTTCATATTCTTGCAATATCGATTGATTAAAATGTTGTAGCTAAGAGTGTCGGGCTCAATTCCCTTATCCACCATGGAATGAAAGACTTCTATTCCTTTGTCCATTTGGCCTCGCAAAAAATAACCATCCATGAGTATACCATATGTGAGTCGTGACTGCATTGGATTGGGACCAACACCTCTTTGGACCATGACTTTAAGAATAGCTTCTGCTGTTTTTGCCATCCTTTCCTTGCAAAGTGCATCTATCAACGTATTAAAGGTAAGAACATTCGGAAAAACATTATTGTCTATCATGTCTCTCAACATTCTTGTTGTTTCCTTCCACTGGCCTAAATTACATAATCCATGGATCAAAGTGTCGTTCGTGATCACATTTGGTGAACATCTTGCTGGGTCGTTTCCACGAAGAGGCTCAAAGCATCATCTACATTTCTGTTATTACAAAGACTGTCAATAATTATGTTATACATCACAACATTAGGCTTATAGTTCCATTTCAGCATACTCTTGAGAACTCCTATAGCAGTTGTAGTATTTCCCTTCTCGCATCGCCCATTTATTATAATCCAAGGTTTGATTTCTTTCTCTTTTATAATTTTCTTGAACAATTCCATGGCCTTGTGTCACGGGCCGACTCCTTTAGAGGCACAGCGGATCAATTTTTTGCCTGTGTAGCGCTCAAACTCCACCAAGTTTAAGCCCGCCATAAACTCGTTGACAAGTCGAGTGTTAATGATCTCACCCGTTTGAACATTAAGGCCTAATGCTTTGTCAAGCAAAACAACTTCACAAGGAAGCTCCGTCTTCACCCGGACGCCACAAGTAGGCCTAACGCCTCAAGTGCACCAAGTACGTCATAAATCGCTTTATAGCGCTAAGCTTATCTCAAGCAAGGTGCTCACCCAACTTAGGTTCATGTCATCAAAGTGCCTAGCCACACAACAATGTGCAAGCGAAGGCCCTCGACTTAGCTAACAAGCCAACATTGCATGTTGGGTCTTTAATAACATCTCGAAGTGCCATAGGGTCTAGCATGCCTCAATTGATACATATCGGATGGCCAAACGGTCATGCAAAGCCCACAAGCCACCGAAGGTCAATCTCTTGCCCACGGCGTAATCCTCGTGCCAACACGTGTGTTAGATTCCGCCTAAAGCCATTGCGCACCTTAGCATTGCACCAACGTGTAGCATGAGTAAGGCAACGTCTCAATCCGTAGCTTGCTTGTAGCATAATGTAGTCCCTTAATGGACTTAGTCAATGCATAGCTTGATGCCTTCATTCGATAGCCCACATATGTGGTGTCACCTTCCAACCGCTTAGCTTAAGCCATGAGATCCCCTCGTGCAAGGTTGAACCCAAACCAAGCACTTGAGTCGGCACACGAGGCCTTTAGTGGTGCCTCGATAGCTCATTCGGTCCAAAACGAGACCTAAAGATGCCACACCACCGCGAGCGAAATGTCACGGAGTTAGCCTTACAAGGCAACCCGTGGCACCTTGCCAGTCTTATCATCTAAAATGAACCCAGCCATTAGAGTGCTATAAGTAGGTACATAACCATATTTGAAGAAGCCACCTAAGAGAGAAAACCCATAATCTACTCGATTCAAGTGGCAAAGGTAATTAATTACAATATTCAAGGTATAGTCATTAGCCCAAATACCCAATAAGTGCATTCTTTGGAATAAAGAAATAACAGTGGAATAATCCTTTATTTTGGAAATACCATTTAACAGGTGATTGAAGTGAATAACCAGAGGCAGGGGTTGCATTTGGAGCATGCGATGGAATAAAGAAAGAGCATCATCATCAAGCTTATCAAAACCCAATTTGGATTTTACTCGATCTTGGTGAGTTCAAGTTTAATGAAGTAGTGGGCTCTCTACAAATGCCAGCACTGATAGTTGGAATGATGAGCCTCAGTCTCAACTAGGGGAATTGTCAAAAGCACTTGAAAAACACCTTCTGAACGAGGGCATGGTGTGAAAAAGAAATTGTTTTGGTCAAAGAGATGTGTGGGGACAACCGGGGTAATTGTGAGGCTCAATCTATGAGACTCTAACAGTAATTTGGGTAGTTGGCTCTAATCAGGAATATTAGGGTTAGGGTTAGGGTTAGGTAAGGATTGGTTGAAATTTGGGTATGAAACAGAAATGCATTATTTTCAGCTGCTAATGATGCTGACAACAATGAACTGAATTTGAATTTGAAGTTGAGCGAGGGAAGAAGAGTGCTGCATTTTCAGTAATTATGAGCTAATCTTTGTGTGAAAATCAAGGAAGCAGCAGAGATTTATTGGATCTTCCTTAATCAGAAACACTTCCTTCGATTGCGATTAAGTCTTGATTGATTTGATCATGGATTCATCACTTTGCTACAAGGCATTGTAGCGAGCCACTTGGGATTAGGGGTGGGCGCGGGTTGGTCGCGACCACGGAACCTCTAATCCGCCATCTGTCTGCCAAATTGGCTGATTGGAGAAAATCAATCTGCATCAAGATGCCAATCCGGCAGATATGAATTGAGCGGATTGGTGGATGATGCGAATTAGTTTGGCGGTTTAAAATTTTATAAATTTTCAATATAATTAAATTTGTGCACTTTCTCAAATATATATATATATATATATTATAGTCAATGACTGAAAAAAGTATTATAATCACTGCATGCCTCATCCAAAGAAAAAACATTTGAAATTTTAGAATATTACAATCACTATATGCATCATCTACATATTACAATTACAACATGCCCCATCCACATAAAGTATTACAATTTTTAAAATATAAAAACAATTCAAACCACCAAAATCATGAACAGAGCAGTAGTAGAGATTGTATACCTCTTTATTGTTATATCTATATCCGTTTTTTGAAAATAAAAACCAACCAATATATATCATTTTTTTATTTATTATTTTTAGAGTTGGATTTAAAAACCAAAAAGTGTAGATAAATAATACATTTATTTTTTTCAATTCAAAAAATATATTCACGTGGAAAACTCTTTTTCAACAGAATGTATTCAACAGAATATTTAAACTCTTTTTCAATTGAAAACACAAATAGAATATCTAAACAAATTGAAAATACAAAGTTTTTCAAATTACTAGGGGTGCTCGCAGTTTGGCAGTTCTGTTGCGGTTAAAGGAACCTCAAATCCGCCATCCGTTCAAAATTAGGCGGATTGAAAAAAATTAATCCACAATCGTCCGCTCGTCATCACACATCCGTCCAAAATGAGCCGGATCGGTTCGATTCGGTTCGATCGGTTTGGACAAATCGATATATCCGCTACTCACTCCTACTTGGGATGAGAACACTTTGCTCCTCTTTTCTTTTTGCAGTAGCAGTTGCCATACAAGGGAGAAAGAGAGCACGAGAGAGAGATATGAGGTGAAACAAAAAATGAGAGTAATGGTAATAACAAAATATATATACTTATTATTATTTTTACATATACATATATATATATGTATGTTATTTTTTAGTATATAAATATTTTTAAAAAAAAACTAATTACCTTCTTTTGTTCCAATTTTGAACTCAAATTTTTTGAAGATTGAGTTTTTTTATTTTTTTTAAAATTTTTAGTGAACTTTTTTTAGTGAACTTTTTTAATATTTTAGGTAATTTTTTTACTTTTTAAATGCACCTCACTTAGATGCACCTAAAAAATAAAACATTTATAATTTTTTTTTATAAAAAAAATCAATAAATACACAAGAATACGAAAATATATTGAATTTTTATATATTTTTATATATTTAGTGATTTTTTAAAAGATTTTTTTACAAATATTATATTTTTTAAGTGTATTTATGTTATGTGTACCTAAAAACTAAAAAATTTTCATCAAATATTAAAAAAAAAATAGTGAAAACAAAAAAACACATAAAATAAAAAAACTTAATTTTTTAAAAAGTAGATTCAAAATTTTGAAACCAAATAAAGTGAATATTTTTGGTGCCTTCATTTATTTATAGAAAAACTAGTTCCCAAATTTAAAAAACTTGACATTCATTTTTAAAAATATTTTCAGTTATGGCCTAATTACACCCAATATTTCTATTATTTATAAGTATTTCCATATAGTGCGAACATTGGGCTGCAAACCTTTAGTAGAAAGTTTCCTAAATAGATTCTTTGCCATCTCAAGCTTCCCATCTTTGCAAAATCTATCAATTAAAATATTGTGCATAGTAATATCAGGATTTATGCCACTGCATTCTAGCTCCAGAAACAACAACAATGCTTCATCAATATGGCAATTCTTGGATAATCCATCCAGTAATACACAATAAGTATAAAAATCTGGACGCTGACCCTTAGCTTGCATGTCATTCAGAAGTCCTCGAGCAGTAAAACACCTACCAACCCCAAACAATCCCCGCAACATAATATTGTAAGTATCAATTGTGGGTTTCAATCCTTTACAAGGCATTTCACAGAAAAGATTGATGGCCTCTTCAAATTTCATATTCTTGCAACATCCATTGATCAAAATGTTATAGCTTAGAGTGCTAGGCTCGATGCCCTTATCCACCATGGAATGAAAAACTTCTATTGCTCTATCCATGTGGCCTAGCAAACAATAACCATCCATGAGTGTACCATATTTGACTGCATTGGGACCAACACCTCTTTGGACCATGACTTCAAGAACAACCTCTGTTTCTTTTGCCATGCCTTCTTTGCAAAGTGCATCTATTAGTGTAGTAAATGTCAGAACATCCGGAAAAACATTCTTGTCTATCATGTCTCTCAACATTCTTTTTGCTTCCTCCCATCGGCCTAAATTACATAATCCATGAATCAAAGTGCTGTAAGTGATCACGTCTAGTGCAACATCCTGCTGGATCATTTCCACTAAGAGGCTCAAAGCATCATCCACATTTATGTCCTTGCAAAGACTGTTAATAATTGTGTTATACATCACAACATTAGGCTTATACTTCTATTTTTGCATACTTCTAAGAATCCCTATGGCAGTTGTAGTATTTCCCGTCTTGGAAAGCCCATTTATAATAGTACCATAAATAACTTCATTAGATTTGATTTCTCCCTCTTTTACCAATTTATTGAACAATTCCATGGCCTTGCTAGTCTGGTCTTGTAAAATGAACCCATTCATCAGAGTGCCGAAAGTATATATAGATGGTACATAACCACGTTTGAAGAAGCTAGCTAAGACAGAAAACCCATAATCCACTTGATTCAAGTGGCAAAGGCAATTAATTACAATACTGAGGGTATATTCATTAGTCCAAATACCCAATAAGCACATCTTTTGAAACAGAGAAATAACCATGGAATAATGCTTCATTTTGACAATACTAGTTAACAGTTGAGTGAAGTCGATAACATAAGGTAGGGTTGCATTTGGACCATCCGATGGAACAAACTAAGAGCATCATCGAGTTTATCAAAACCCAATTTGGATTTCTCTAACAATAATTTCTGTAGTTGTCTCCGATCAGGAGGGTTAGGGTTAGGGTTTGTTGAAATGTGGGTATGAATTGATGTTGACAACAATGGATTAAACTCTAACTTGAAGTTGAGCGAGGGAAGAAGAGTGGTACCTTTTCGATAATTGTGAGCTAAGAATCAAAGAAGCAGTAGAGATTTCTTGCATCTTCCTCTCTCATAAACACTTCTTTTGGTACGATTGCGAGTGAGTCACTGATATGATCACAGATTCATCAGTTTACTACAAAGCTTTTAATTTCAAATTTACAGCATCACCCACAAGACATTTGTAGTTAAATTTTTAATAAAAATTTTGAGGTTTTTAGTATTTTTAATTTTTTCAATGGCCTTGTTTGAAAAGTTTTATTTTAATTGATTATTTAGTTTTTTTTATTATGCTAATCTAGTTTGAATAGTTATGTTTAGGAAAAAAAAAATTATAATTAATTTGATAATTATGAAAGAAAAAAAAAAATAATTATAAGTTAAATGTAACATTTTATGTTATTAATTATTTTATTATATTTTATTTTTATTAATTATTTTAGCTAAGTCCTTCCCAAACAGGTGCTGGAGTAATGTTAAGGTTCAGAGATAAAAGATTGAACCAGTCGTCCTGAACTGTACACACATATTTTTTTTTTTTTTTTTTTTTTTTTAAGGACAATACTTTCTCCAATAAATTTATAATACTTATAGACTTATAATTGATTTTTGTAATCCTTTTAGGGAGTAAATATGTTCGAATTAAACAGTTTAGCGACTTAATACATTCAATCAATAATTTTGGGACTACATATATTTTAATTTATATACTTTAAGGAGTAAGTAGACTAAATCAATAGTTCAGGGATTACATAAACAATTTAACGATAGTTTAAGGATAAAAAGTGTAATAAACCCTTTATAAAATTTACTTAAACTCAATTTCATTTCTCTAATTTCAAAAGAATCAAATCTCATTATTTATTAATCATGTAAGAATTCATTTTAGGCAAAACAAATCTCTATTACTATGCACTCAATGCATTCCAAATCCATAACAATAAACTCCAGTCTACAACACTACGAGGCATTTTGCCTACTAAAATTACAATCTTTATTTCGGCAAATCTCGATAACATCGCTCAAATACCAAGAAAGGATTTGCCTAGATTTTCATGGCTTTCTGATTGGAATTCGGATCCTTGGCCGCCCTACCCGGCAGCCCTACCCGGCAGCCCCCCAAAACGACTGTTTTTCTCTTTCTTCTTCCTTCGTCACCGTCGCAGGTCGTCGCAGGGGAGGGGAGGGTCGCCGTCGCAGGTCGTCCGATCGTCGCCTCCGCCTCGCCTCGCCTCCGCCTCGCCTCGCCTCCGCCGTCGCAGGTCGTCCAGCCGTCCGATCGTCGCCTCGCCTCCGCCTCCTCCTCCTCCTCC